TGTGCCCTTGTGCCCTTGTGCCCTTGTGCCCTTGTGCCCTTGTGCCCTTGTGCCCTTGTGCCCTTGTGCCCTTGTGCCCTTGTGCCCTTGTGCCCTTGCCGTGCCCTTGTGGTGCCCTTGTGGTGCCCTTGTGGTGCCCTTGCCGTGCCCTTGCCGTGCCCTTGTGCCCGGGATCACTGGGGGACCTCTCTCTCAGCATCGGCGGCAGCAGCCGCCTCAGCCGCTGCAGCAACTGCAACAGCAACAGCAACAACAACAACAACAACATCATTTATCCAGAGGCGAGTCATCGGCATTCACCTCGTCGCCTTCATCATAATCAACTTCAGCGTCAGTAGCACGGTCCTAGTCATCATTAGTACCATCAGCACCATCATGCAAATCCATGACTCATGACCATCGTCGGAATACTCGTCGTCGTCGTCGGAAGAGCGGCCCAAGGGGAGGGGGTTGGCGTGTAGCGCAATAACGCCAGCAACACCGACATTTACAAGAAACTACACCCCAAACCAAACACCCCGAACCCTAAACCCTGAATCCTAAACTAGAAACCCCTAAACCCTCAACCCAAACCAACAACACCCCAAACCCTAAACCCTAAACTCTGAACCCAAACCAAGAAAAGCCCTGTTGTATATATATATATATATATATATATATATATATATATATATGGTCACGCGCTCCGCGGCCCCCCCCCCTCCCCCCCCCAAAGGTCAATGGTCCGGATGTAGGGTGGGACCCCCCCTCCCCTGTGGTGTGGGGTGTGGGGTTCCTCTTCCCCCTGTGGGGTGGTTGTGGGGTTTTGGGGTTTAGGGTTTAGCTTAAGCTTTTGAGTTTTGGGTTTACGGTTATAAGGTATACAGCTTCGAGTCGACAAGGGCTTAGGGAGGATTTGCGGTGTATGCTCTGCTTTAGGCTTAGAGCCTGCAGTTAGGTGGGGTTTAGGGTGGGTGCAGCGTTTTAAGTACAAGCTAAGGTTGCTCAAAACGGGGGCACGCGCTGCGTTATAGGGTTTACGGCTTGTTTGCGAAGGGCTTGCGCGTGAGCCCTGGCCGCCAGCACCACCCCACCATCAACAGCCCCCAACCCCTTTCCGCACACGCCAGGCCCCCCCCCCCCCCACCCCTATCAGACCATACCATTGGGGGAGGGGGGGGGCTGGGAACGCCAGACGCCTGACCATATATTATATATATATATATATATATATATATATATATATATATAGACCCCAAAGGCCCGATCAGAGGACGAACTTCGGCCCCTTGGCGCCTCCCGCTCTGCCGTCTCGATGGCCTGCTTCGCCTTCTTCCCCTTCCCGGCCTCATGGAGGTTTTGGCTTTAGGATTTAGGGATTTAGGGTTTAGGGTTTCGGGGTTTGGGTTTCAGGTTTTAGGGTTTAGGGATTTAGGGTTTAAGGTTTAGGGTTTGGGGGTTCGGGTTTAGGGGGTTTGTTTCTACAACAGCAAGCATACCAATAATAACAGCAATAACAGTAAGAATCATAATCACAACAACAACAGCGGTATAAACGTTAATAAGAACAAAACAATAACAATCAAGAATTAGACTAACTAGGGTTCCTTTAAGGGGCTCTTTATAAAAAAAACTTCTATAAGGGTTCCGAAATAGAGGCGCCTGAGCCCCTGAACCACTGCCATAGGGGTTTTGGGTGCACAATAACGGCACAAAAATGCTCCTCGGCGCCGGCTCCTCGGATCCCCTGGGGACCCCTACCCTATAATGGGGTATATAATGGGTATATAGTAGCTATATTAAGGGTATATACCTAGGGGTCCTTATTAAGGGTCCCTCCTTTTCCCCTTTGACTCTAGAAAGGGTCCCTTTTCATAAGGGCGTTTAGCGTTTAGGAGATCCCCATACTCTGTGGGTTGTTGCATAAGTTCGGGTCCCTCATTGAGGTCCATGTAGAGAACTACCCTTGCCGAGCTCCATCCTTGCACAATCGTTTGGTAGTTTCCGAAAACGAGGGGTACTTCATTTGGGGGTCCTAATAATCAGGATCCTACTATTGAGGCTACTAAATTAAGGGTCCCCTATTTTCGGAAACTCCCGTTTCCGGCTCGTGAAACCTAGGCGTCTCAAGGCGTGATGCTTGTTGATGGGATCTACATCACGCTTCAAAAAGCCGGGTAGCCGTCAACTCACTTTTCTTGGACCATAAAACCGTAAGATGCTCAGACAAGAAGGCCTTAAAGTGCCCGAAAAATCGTTTTTCAAGCAAATCCAAAGGCCACCCAAAATACAGCCCCAAAGTGCCTGGGAATCCTAAACAAGAAGACCACAAAGCCTCAAAATCCTGAGCCAGAGAAACCGGACACCCTGAACCCCAATCGTCCCAGACCAGCAAGCACCAAACCCTTCAAGTCCTTGATTAGCCTAAACCAGAAAAATAGAACCCGTGGACCGCAAAACCCAAACACTAAAACCGTGACACTGACATGTAAATCAGCAAACCCTACAACCAATATACCAAAAGCCTGAAGCCGAAAATGCTGAAAATAAAACAGCCTGAAGCCCTACTGCAGCCTTTTGAACGCTGTAAAACCCAGCAACACCTTCTGACAGCCTATGGCGACCCAATGCACCGCGATAAGGACGTCCATGTCATGCTGCAGCAAACTATACTGAACTTAGAACCCTAGCAAAAATCATAAGTTTTGCTGTCTCTTAGGGATTATTGTAAACAAAAATTAAGAATCATTTCTAAGTACCCCTAAGCAAACCCTCAACTCCAAGCCCTAACGTGTGCCCCTCATCATTACTTCAGTCGGAGTGACAGTCTCCTTCACCTTCTCCACGTGCGCCTTGGCATGCTCTTCCAAGGCGGCTATCTCCTGCCGAACTTCGCTGGCAGGCTAAGCAAAGTTGACCATGCTGTGTTGTTTGAGGGGTCCCTTCAAAGGGCTCTACTCTGGGGCCACGATAAAGGTTCTAGAATGATGATTCGAACAGGGCTTGGGCATTGGGGGTTACATCATACTATCATTACCAGGCCTAGTAATGGCGGAGATTAATTGTATTTCGGGGGTGTGGGGTGTCAGTCAACCTACTGAGTTCATAGCATTAGTATCGCGGGAATCTAGCTTTCGACCTGAGCCCCATACCGGAGGGTTTATGGATGGGTCCCTGGCGTTCCGCCATTGAAAACTGTTATACCCAAGCCATAGAAAGAGCCTCCCAAGACCAGGCGACTCTGAGAAAAGCACTCCCTGCCTCACATCCTAAACCCTAAACCCTAAACCCCGAGCCCTGAACCCTAAGCCCTGAACCCTATACCCCAAATCCTAATTCCTAAACCCTCAACCCCCCACGAGCAGTCGATGATGCCTTCTCATGTCTCGCCTCCAACCTCAGCGTTTTGAAGCTTGGGGGGGGCCTAAAACCTCAAAAACCCTAAACCTTAATAGGGTATGGGGTTTGGGGTTTAGGGCCTATGAGTTTATGGTTTAGCACACGCTTTGGAACTGAGCAATCCTGCTACAATAAGGAACAAGAAGTGAAGAAATGCGCCTAACCAGAGCCCCACAACGCTTGCATTCTAAACTCCGAGCCTTTCAGACCACAACACTCACAGACCCGAGACAGTTGACCCTGGACACTAAGCCCCCTGACTGCGGCTACACTCAAAGAAAGCCCTGGCCCTAACCCAACCTCCCCCTGAAACTCCCCCCCCCCCCCAAGTGCTTGTGAGCTGCTCTTCCTCGGTCTGCGCCGGGGGAGATTCCTCTAGGCTCTTAACGGGTTCGCGCAAAGGCTCGGGGAAGGATTTAGGGTAGAGCATGAAGGTGTCAAGAGGTCTTTGTGTCCTTGACCTGCAGGGGTTTTCGAAACCCTGCAGCGGGGTTTTCATAAGAGTGTTATAGGACTTTGGGAAGGTGTTATGAAGCCTTCATGATATTTGCGGTGTGTTTTAATATAAGTGCATACGGACTCATTGGGACCGTTAGTAGTTCTTCCAACGTGTTTGTGACATCAAGACACCACAGCACTGCCGGAGACCGAAAAGGCTTGAGGGCTATGGCATTCATTCAGAGATTGGGGGTGGAGGGCTTAGGGTGATGGAGTTTACCTTACTTGCTAACAAAAACTATCCAGAGCCACCACATGTTGGATCATGGAAACTGGCCTCCTCTGCCATTGCACTTCGCGGCAGCAAGGCCAGTGAAAGGTGCGGTGTGTAAATGCGCTCAGAAGTATTGGAAGAATTCGAAGACGAATAACAGTACTCTGTGGTAGTGTGCTGCCCCAAATTTGGGGATCTACGTTATTGGATCTTTGGGGGATCTGAATTCCAAGGCTTGTTATGCTGCGTCCTGGCGGCACAAAACCTGATAATACCTCATGCAGCCGATATTTCGGGATGTTGCACACATCATTTTCGGGGTTGAGGGCACTGCAGAACCCTAAACCCTAAACCCTAAGGCCGGGCCTTTCGGTTTGAGAGACACGCAAGTTTCATCTGAGCCACTACAAGCCACTTCGTCTTTTCGAGGTTTGGGACCGCAGGTTGCGGAGGAAATGTGCAACGCCTGGCTTGAGCCACGCTGGCTTCGGTGGAGCAGGTCTCGAGTAGGAAGCTGCAAACTTAACCGCACTAAGTACCTCTGATATCCTCTGATCCTAGCGAAGAAAGGGTGATGCCCTCAACTCCCATCTGCCAGAGGCGCCGGACCCCAACAAGGAGACGGAGAACACACCCTACTTGGAGGTTCATGGGCAGTTACAAGTGGAGTTATGAGTTAGGTAAATATAGTTAGATAGGAGTTATAACCCCACGTATAACTACCCATGAACCTCCACGACCTGGCAACTACAACATCACTCTTCACATCGCACGGCATGCGTGCGGATGATTGCTGTTCTGGATCAGGACCTCCCACCTTCAAAGAAAGGCCCCCAAGGCCCTGAACCCGAAACCCCAAACCCCACTCATCTTCACCACAACGGATGCTCTTGAGCAATAGGCACCCAGCCTTAGGCGAAGGGATATCATCCGATTCTGGCCTCAGCACAAACACCCTGACACGACCCTAGAGTGAAAGGTTTTCATCGTTTAGAGCTTCGTTCCGTTCAGGGTTTGGGGTTTAGGGTCTCGGACCCCGAAACTTCAAGCGTGGACCTCGCCAAAGCCCGGACACGCAGGGCATGCCGGCGGATGTAGGAATTTTCGTCCGGGCTCCGAATCCGGGGCTTGTACATGCAGAGCCTCTTCTACGAGGCACCATGTGGACAAAGTCTTGCTGCATACCACGCCTCGGAAGCAGCCTATAAAACTCTAAAGTCTAAATCCTGGTCGCGCCGAACTCCCCGAAACCGAGTCAAGCTTCCAGGCCCCCTGATTTCGAAGTTCCAAGCTCGCAAACCCAAAAGATGGCTAAGCTCGCTCTTTTCAACCCCCAAAGCCAAAAAACCCAAAGCCGCAAAGCTGTTGCCATTGACCCTAAAGCTGGAAGCCCAACAGCCGAAAGCCCTAAGCCGCTGAAGATCCAAAACCTTTAGGGTTTAGGGCTTTAGTGGTTTAGGGTTTAGCCACACAACCAAAAAAACATGAGCCCGATAAGCCCAACAGTAGAAACACTACAGTTGGAAACCCAATAGCCTCAATCCTTGAGAGTAGTGTATCCCAGGACCGCTGTCCTTAAAAAGGCTTCCAACGTGTCGGGGCTTACTATAAACCATAAAATTTATGCCCTCAACCCCGAAAGATTCAACTCTACTCCCAAACCTTAAACCCCGAACCCCAACTCCAATACTCTAAACCTTAAGTACCCGATACAAGGGCCTTAACCATTAGAACAAGGTTTTTTCGTAATATGCTTGGTTAAGGACTCTAAGGGGAACATTATCTATATTCATTTCGGCCCCCGACATTACTCAAACCCTAAACCCCACACCCTGAACTACCCTAGACCATGGCCTTCACCCTAAACCCTAAACCCCAAACCCTGGACCGTAGACCATGGGCTTCAACTGAAGCTTTCCTGAGGCCCACTGCGGGAGCGACTGATCGTCCAGGAGGAAGGGTTGTTTGCATTGAGGTCGTGACCTTGCCCCTGGGTCGCGGAAGCGTTTAGGGTGCATTGTTTGGGTTTAGGATATACGGGGTTTTCACGATTGCGCTTAGGTTGCGAGGTTCTGGGTTGTGGGGCCAGGGGGCTCCAAAACTTCAGTTGTTGCCGTTGTCTTGGGATTTAAGGGTGTGCGGCTCAAGGGTTCAGGGTTTGGGATTAAAGGTTTAGTTGAGGCTTCAGGAGGTTTGGAATTTAGATTTGCCGAACCCGAAACCCTAACCCCCCCAAACCCCCCGTGCAAAAGAGAACCGTATACGACAGACCGACGCCGGTGGACGGGACGCGAGACACGAGTGGGTCGTGCACTGTGACCTTGACACCGACCTTTACAACAAGCAAGCAGATAAAGAGTAGGGTACCACTGACATAAAACAGGCGAGAGACAGAGAGAGAGAGAGAGAATTATGGAGAGAGGTAGAGAACACACCAAGCAGAAGCGCAGGACATAGAAACTCAAGATAAGGGAGACAAAGCGAAATAGAGATGGGACAGAGTAGAAAATCGGGGGCAGCCAGCCGCGATTGAGTGGGCCGGAAGACAATACACTTGGGAATCAGAGGATCATGCGGGGAGGCAGCAATGTGTGCCGCATGCTGCACTTTCGCTTTCGCAATCTCAAGCTTCCTTTACTGCGAGAAGACGAGAAGCGGAATATTACACGATAGACCCAGATAGACGTGGTGGCTCCGCAGACGTACTTGACGTATGTAGGCATAGTGAGACGGACTGCTGGAAAGACGGAGAAATACAGTGGCGGTGCAAACAAGAAAGCAGTTCAGTAATCAGAAGCCCATGAAAGGGAAACAGAAGAACACGGGGTAAGGAAAGCTGAGGATGGCAGGGATCGAAGAGCATATTGCACGGTGTCCCTTTTGACTTCATCCAGGCAAGGCCGTCGCCAGTCCGGCTTCTTGGCCGGCTGCCCCTCCGGGGGTGTCTCGACCAAGCGGGGAAAGGCCCGGAGCGACCCCAATACGGTCTTGGAGGACGGCTTGATGCCTCTCCTCGACATGCAACCAGGGTTTTCCTTTCCGAGAACTTCTGCTGCACCGAAGGACCACGTGATTAAACACCTCTGCCTTCAGGATTACAAGGGCACTAAACAAAGAAAAGCTTCAGGTGGCACCCCTGTTTCCGCACTTTGCAAAGGGCGATGAAGTGGTCTATGTCGTACTTCTTGGATGCGTCGAGCACGGATGCAGCGTAGCAAGTTTTCAGAGTTTTCTACCTCTTCAGCAAATGTAGCTACCCCTGACGCGACCCCTTGGTTTGCAACCACCATCCTTGTGAGCCAGCACGATCAACTTCAGCGCCGTGGGCAGATGCTCTGCAACCTTCGCGTTCTCCCTGTGCACGACTTAGGCTAAGAGTTCTGGTACGAAACGAAGTCCACGACACAAGCACTGCCAGGCAGCACGCGTAGTTGCAGGCATGCTACACGCGTAGGCACCCGGCTTATCAGCACAGCATCGATGACCCGACTGACGGCTCTTTCCGCCAGTCGGCATGCGATCCCGCGAAGTCGAGGCGTCTTCATTTCGACATAGAACTTGATGTACTCGCTGCCTCAACGTCTCCATCTCAGAACGAAATCAATCAGACAGATGGAGAAAGAGGAGCATGGCATAACACGAAGAAGCGACCACAGAGATACGCAGTCGCCTGAAGTCAAAGCCAGGCTTCCTCTCGACTCCACAACTGCATGTTCGACGGCGACCTTCAGGTTTTGGAGCTCGCTCAGGACTTCGGCTTCCATAGCCTGAGACACTCGGGTCGTAGACACCAGACCGAATCTTGCTAATACTTCGCTGCGCACTGCATCAACCTCGATCGAGCCTCGTAGTCCTGCCGATCCACGAATGGGCAGTGTCTTGAACCAACTTGACCAGACCAGAGAGGAAGCAAACCTTCACAAATCGGCACAAGCAATGGCTGGTTTAGATTTCCCGAGCTCAACGGACGGGATCGCAGGACTGAGCTCGCTGCGAAATTCAGATCTCCATCGAGATCTCCATCGGCCCATTTGCGGTTGACTTCACCCCACTCGCGCAGGACCATCGCGTTGCCTCGGAAAGTGTTCCCAGCCTAGGGCCTACGGGCTCCCACGCGGACGGCGTGCGCTTAGAACCCAGCTAGCACCTGCAAAAGAGACTCGTGGAAGCGCCACTCTTGCGGGTGGTGCCTTGGCATGCAGCACGCCGATGTCGGCTGGGCCATGACAAGGATATCGCCAAACCTGAGAACGGAGTGACAGTGCCACGACGGACAAAAACAAGTAACCTAGCCACAAAGAAAAAGGAGCTCCGAAACGGCTTCTGCAAGACAGGCCAGGCGAGCAGCCGCAGATACATCAAATACCCAGACTCTGTCGGGTCAGTACTTTGTCAATAATTTTGTCCGGACTTCAAGACCGACCAGATCGATATCGTACTCGATAGCTGCTCGCAGCTTCAGGCGACGTGTCCGTGGACAAATGCAACGCACTAACACGATTGGTCAAACCGCAACAGGTGGTCACGCGTATCCCACAAAGTGGGACGGAGCTGCACGTCGTCGAGCACAGTCATGCAACCGTCGAGGCAGGTATATAGTTTGTAGTACGAAGCCCGGTGGCAAGTGACGAGTGCCACAACGCACTTTTGTTTTACAACCGTCCGGAACAACGGTCATCATTTCCTATGAGTATACAGGAAGAAGGTTTGCTTACCAGAACCATCCAGAACCTGGTCGCGAGCCTGCTTCAACGGTTGTAACCCGCCCTAAGTGAAACAAGGCACGGCAACAGGCCCAACGTACGCCTGGCTGCCCTTGATAATGTAGCATTCGTCCGGCCCCAGCGTACACCCAACCTTAAACCCGACAGCCCTAACCCCATGGCCCCTACCTTGTGGGGAGGCCTACTGGGGGTCATCCAGGCGTCATTTTTTTGATTCGGAGGGGTTGGAGTCTTCAGTAGCTACTTATTCTAAGAGACTTCCATCAGGGCCGGAATAATTTCCATCCCCTGCGAAATGGATGCACATCCCCGGAGTGATGTTGCTGCATGGCCTGCGCACACCGCACACCAACGGACTAGCTGATTCGCTGCATGGACCTAATTTTTCGTGACTCCCCGGAGGTTTCTACACAGGGCAGCACACGGACATGTCTGCAGCGAGACCCAGAAGCCACCCTCAGCCTTCAAGGCTGAGGGTGACACAAGCCAGCACGTGTCAGCCGTGTCTCCGCCTTTCTTTATGCTCTTGCGATAGTGATAGCAGGCACGGAGCCACTGGACATGCCTTGCATGAACCCTAGGACCTTAGGAGCCACCCTCAAGCTTCAAGACTGGAGGTGCCTCGTTGCGCACACGCAGCAGCCAGCTCTTGAAACGCCGGCTCTCCTCCCCAGGTCTCGAAGATGGGGAGTGAAGCTCCTGCATGATTAAATCCCCTCTTTTTCAGGCGGCAGCTCTTTCGAGGCTTTGGTGAACTTTTGATACTTCATGAGATACCCGGATATTCGGGCTACAAGTTCGGACCACTGTGCATGGCTGCTGGCGCTGAACTTGATGCAATCCTTGTCGTCTGTCAACGGGCCGTGCATTGTCTCCCAGTCTCGGCGCAGAGCGCAGAGGTATCGCTGGACATTGACACGTCCCTGCGCTGTGTTCCGCAGGTCGTCGGGCGTCAAAAACACGACTTCGCTTCCAATGCCTTGAGACGCTTTCTTCTTCTCCTCTCCAAAGGGCACTTTCGCCAAGGCCGCGTTCTGCAAAGCTTTCATGGCGGCTTCGGAGAGCCAAAAGGTCGCGCCCTGGGACGAGATCTCGCTGTGGAAGTCCTTCTCCGGAATTCCATACAACAAACAGCTGTGAGCTTCCAGAGTGAACACTGGGTACAGAGCCTGCGCACTTTTCTCAGGCTCCAGCAGCATGACCCGG